GTTTTTATTTTTATTTTTTGCCTTTTTGGGTCACACCTGGCAGTGCTCAAGGGTGAAGTCCTGGCTCTGCACTCAGTAGTTACTCCTAGTGGTGCTCTGGGGACCATATGGGATGCCGGGGATCTAACCCGGGTCTGCCATATGCAAGGTAAATGCCCTACACGGTTTATTATTGCTGCAGTCCCCGTTTTCAAAGGGTTTTGAGGTGGAAAATGAAATGATGCAATCTGAAGGTATGCATGTAGGTTCCAGCCTCAGTCAATCTGGCTTGAATCTGTTAGCTGTGTTCTTTTTTTTTTTTTTAATTTTTATTAGTGAAACACCATGAGGTACAGTTGTAGATTTACAAATTTTTGTGCTTGGGTTTCGATTATACAATGATCAAATACCCATCCCTCCACCAGTGCCCATTTTCCACCACCATGGATAATATCCCTCCCACCCCCATCCCTCCCATCCCACCCTGCCTCTGTGGCAGGGCATTCCCTTTTGTTCTCTCTCTCCTTTTGGGTGTTGTGGTCTGCAAAAGAGGCATTGAGTGGCAAACATGTTCAGTCCATAGTCTACTTTCAACATGCATCTCCCCTCCTGGGAGGATCCTCCAAACACCCTTTATTTGGTGCTCCCTTCTCTATCTGAAGCTCTGTGTTCTTAAGCAGGTGTTCCAGTGCCTCAGTTCCCTCATCTGTCAAGTGGGAATAACAGTCCTACTGTCATCTGGTTTATCATGGGGACTAAATGAGCACACATGAGCTGTGACATGCTGTGAACAAGGTTTCTTTTCATCCATATTTTATTGCAGTCAGCAGACCTCTTTTGCAAAACTTATGCTTACGCCTTTGTTCCTTGGATCCTGGAGGGATAGCAGATACTTTTGGTCTTCTTTCCCCCTTCTGATTCTCTCCTGTCTCCTTGCTGGTTGCTCTTTTTTTTTTTTTTTTTTGCCGACTCTCGCTGTGCTCAGGGTTTGCTCCTTACTCCATGTTCAGGAATCACTCCTGGAAGTGTTCAGGGGAACACTGTGGTGCTGCGGATTAGACCCAGGTCAGCTGTGTGCAAGGCAGGCGCCCTACCCACTGCACTGTCTCTCTGGGCCCTGCCGGCTGCTACTCTCTTGGCCTTGTCTCTCCACATTCAGCCCTTGAGTGAGCTCCCCCAGAAGTCTTGGGCTTTTCAGAACCCTTAAATATCCTTTACTAGCTGACAGTTCTGTTATTACCAGCCCCTGCTTCCTCCCCTAACTCCAGTTACTAATGGGACATCCTCATTGATGTATCCGCCAGGCCTCTCAAACATAACTTGATCTCACAGACACTCTAAATCTCCCTACAATATTCCAGGTCATATTAACCAAACAGTACCAATAATCAATTTGTACCAATAACCAAATTATACAATATCCAGCTTATTATCAATAACCAAACTCTACTCTCCCTCCAATATTCCAGATCAATAAATGGCAACTCCTTCTAGTGTGGAAACTAAAACAAACAACCTCCCCTCTCCCACCCCCAATCATCATTCTGGACTCCTTTCTCCTCTTCATGCCCACCATCGTGAGCCAAATATCCAGAAATAGGGATGTCTGATTGCCGCCTCCCAGGTTACTGGCCTGGTTTAAGCCCCCTGTACCTCCCTGCTGTGTGTCCTTGGGTTTGGACTTCTTGGTCTGAATTAAATGACTGAGATCCTGGTGTCCAGGTAGGCTCCATCCCTACTTGTAAGGTGCTTAAGAACATCCATCCAGTAGGAAGCTCACAAAGAGGAACTTATTTTTTTCTTGTTTTATTGGGGGGGCTTGTTTGCCAAGGCATCAAAAATCAGATGGGCTGGACATGTAATGAGATTTGGAGACGACCGCTGGACAGAGCCGTTACTGACTGGATTCCACGGGATGTCAAAAGACCGCGTGGCCGCCCACCTACCAGATGGTCAGACTTCTTCATCAAGATCTTGAACAATCCGTTTGAGGCTCTTCGTGTTCCTAGTACGAACAGACGCCATTGGGCTACACTAGCACGCGACAGGGACAAATGGAGATGTTACTGGCGCCCGCTCGAGCAAATCGATGATTAATGGGAAGTCAGGTGATCAAGTGATTGCGGGGGCGGGGCTGTACCCAGCAGAGCTTAGGGCTTAGTCCTGGCTCTCTGCTTTGGAGTGAACCTTGGTGGGTCTTGGGGGACCTTATGTGGTGCAGTGATTCGAACAAGGGTCAGTCACAGCAAAGGAAGCATCATGAACTAGCTCTTCTACCCAAGAGAAGAGTTTTTTTTTTATTTTTTTCCCTTCTTTTTTAGGAAGGCAGGCAGGAAGGGAGGGAGGGAAGGAATAAAGGAGGAAGAGAGGGAGGGAGGGAAGGGAAAAAGGAGGGGGAAAGAGAGGGAAAGAAGAAAGGAAGTAGAGAGAGAAGGAAGGAGAGGAGAGAAGGAAGGGAGGGAGGGAGGGAGAGAGAGAGAGAGAGAGAGGGAGGGAAGTTTAAGAAGAACTGTTTAAATTAAAAAAAAAACAACCTTGAATACCGGAAGAACTTTTCAGCAGCCCTAGTCCCCCTACAGTCCATTTGGAACACAGCAGCCTCTACATCCTTCTAAAGAGCTGAGGCCGGGTCCAGTGATAGCTGCTGGGTCTCTAACTTTTGATCCCAGGGCTTCTCTGGCTCAGTCTGGGCCTCCTGAACTCCTGTCCTCTGTTCCTTTTGTCCTTTCTGGTCAGAAGTTACCTTTCAACCGGCTTATTGACTCCCCCTGATTTCCAACCACATCTGGTTACCACTGGGCACTGTTCCCTAGCAGCTGATTGTCTTTCTTCAAGGGTTCAAGATTTGCCACAGCATGACCTGTTTTGCTCACTCTCTGTCAACCGCACTTGGTACACAGGAGGTGCTCAATAAATACCAAGTGGAAAGACCAAGATCTTTTGTCTGGATTTCTGAAATGCAAGTGTCAGCTCAGCCATGTAGGACTCACCTAAAAGGTTTTTGAGTGGGGAGCCACTTTTCCTCGGTGCTTCATTGAGGCCTGGATCCTGGACCGGATCAGTTTTGCCCAGTGCTTTGCAGGATACCAGGAGAGCCAGGGTGGGCAGGCATTAATAGCAAGTTTCCTTTTTTTTTTTTTTTTTTTTTTAACTTTTTGGGTCATACCCAGTGATGCACAGGGGTTACTCCTGACTCTGCACCCAGGAACTACTCCTGGCGGTGCTTGGGGGACCATATGGGATCCTGGGGATCGAACCCGGGTCAGCTGCATGCAAGGCAAACGCCCTACCCGCAGTACTGTATCGCTTTAGCCCCAAGTCTCCTGTTTCTGGACCAAGCTCCGCAAATATTTGTTGACTGGAGAGGCTGGGGGAGGGAGTCTTTCTGAGTCACTCTGGGTTGGAGGCAGCCTCACTGGGCAAATAGGCCGATGCTCTGTAACATCTAGAAACACTCGTGGCACCTTTCATCCACGGGCCGAGATTCTGATGTCTACCTGCGTTCGTGGCCAGCTTTTTAGCAGCGGTCAGTCTGGTTCGCGTGGATTTTATTGTTTTTACTCTCCTGGTGTCCCCCAAACCGGGCCTGGTAGACAGTTAGGTGCTCAATAAACGCCGCGGCCGGAGGCCTTCCTTAGGCGCCAGCAGGCAGAGCTGCAGCAGGACCTGGCCGCGGTCAGGCTGCAAGCGGCAGCGTCGGGCTTCCGCGTCCAGGTTAGCGGGGCGGGCCGCCCCAGTTCCGGGTGCGCGGCGGGGCGGGGGAGAGCGCTGGCCGGGTGGGGCCAGAGGGCCCGACCCTTCCCTCCCTCCCTGCCTGCCGGCCTGTCTGCCCGTCCGGAGCCTCCAGCAGCCGCGCGCACGACCCGGCGGCGGGCAGGCGGGCGGGGGCGCGCGCCCACCTGTGTGCTCCGCGCGCCCACCCGCGCCCGCCGCCGCGCCCCGCCCCACCCATCCACCCGCGCCCGCCGGCCCCGCCCACCCGCCCCGCCCCGCCCCCGCGAGGCCGGCCCCGCCCCCGCGAGGCCCCGCCCCGCCGGCCCCGCCCCCCGCGCCGCGCTCCATACTTGGCGATGGCCGCGGCGGCGCGCGCTCATTGGCCGAGCGCGGGCTGCGTGCGGGGCGGGCCGGGCCCGGCCGGGGCGGGGAAGGAAGGTGGCGGCGGCCCGGCGCGGGGGGGAGGGGGGCGCTGACCCGGATGTTCACTCCTGGGCACCGGGGGAAGTGGAAGCGCCGGGCCGAGCTGCGGGGGGGGAAGAGCCACAGACGCCGGGACCGGGACCGCCGCCGCCGCCGCCGCCGCCGCCACCATGGTAAGGGCCGCCGCCCCCCGCCCCCCGGGCCCGGCCCCGGGCGCCCCCCGCCGGGGCTCCCCGCGGGTGGGGGCGGGGCGGGCGGGCTCCCGGCGCCCAGGTGGGCTCCATCCCTGCCCTCCTCGCCCGCTGCCCCTCCCCGACGCCCGCCCGCCCGTCCGCCCGCCCGCCCGCGCCGCGCCGGCCTCCGCGTCCCGGCGCCCCCGGCCCGGGGTCCCCTCCGGGCGCCAGGCGTGGGTGCCCCGTCCTCCCCTCCTCCCCCGGCTCTGCTAGGCCGCGCTTCTCCCTCCCGAGCTCCCCGCCCCACGGTCCCGGCCAGGCCTGCCCCGTCGCACCGGCCCGCTCCCGCCGCTGCCCCCGGGCCCCGGCCGGAACCCTCCGTCCCCGCGCCCTGCCCCGTCGGGCCGCCCCCCAGCGCCGGCCCCTTCCCCCCGCGCCCCTCTCTACCCGCACTGCTCACGGCTCCGCGTGGCCTGCCCGCTGCCCGGTCCCCTTCCGTGGGTGCGCCCCGCGGCGGTGGTCGTGGCCGCCCGGGGGGTGGGGTGGTCCCCCGCCCCGAACCCGGGGACCGGCTCGGTGTGCCCGGAAGGCAGCGCCGCCCGCCCGCCCGCCCGCGCGTCGCCCCGGGGCTGAGGGTGGGGGTCCGCGCGCGGCCGCCCCGGGATGAGCGCACAATCGGGCCCTGTGTGTGGCCTCACGCCTCTGGGCGCGGGGGCACTAGGCCCCGAGTCCAACATCTGGCCCGGGCACCATGAACAGGCGCAGCCTCCCTTTCCCCCTGAACTGTCAGCTGGTGAGGGTCGGAACTGCTGATTATGGAGGAGGTGCCGCGGATCAGGTGAGCCAGGTGGGTGGGGGGGTGGGGGGGAGAGAAGCCGCCACCGCCACCCCCACCCCGCCTGGCCTGTGCTACCCTGGACGCCCAGGGGGCCTGCGGGGTCGTCCAGAGGACCCCCGTTCCAGACCCCACCCCGGCCTCCTCCTGTCGTGCCCTCCTCCACTTTGGAACCCTCTGCTCCGTAGACCTCTCAGGTTGCAAGGCCAGGGAGCCCCGGAGGGTGAAGTGAGGCCCTGGCCTTCCTCCTCCTGGCCCTCTACCCGGTGCCCAGCGCCGCAGATGCTGCAGTGTGGACTTTGGGCCGCCGGGGTTTGGAGGATCTCGGTTCCTTGTTTAATGAAGGGATGTTGCCCGGAAGGAGGGTGACTAATTCGGGCTTGCAAAGTTCTTTCCTGGGTGCCTCTCTGTGTATTGATTTAAAGCAGCTGAGCGACTTTGAGGGAGAACTGACTGCATGGGGGGGGGGGTGTGACCTGGTTCCCTGAAGGGGAAGGACTTCTCAAAGGCAGCTTGGGGTGAGGACTTGAAAGGGAACTGAAGTTTAAAAATGTACTCTAAGGGGCAGGGGGGCAGGGAGGGAGGTGGCTGGGCAGAAGGGACTGCTCCAAGCTCTGTCTGCCAGGGAGAGGCGCCTTGCCTTGGTCCCTTGGTGCCTGATCTTCCCCACGCGTTAGGAAGAGGCCAGAAGTGACCCAGGAGGTGTCTGGAGAGTCCTGCATTCACATCCTATGTGGACAGTCAGAAAGAACCACGGTGGGAGAGAAGGGCTTGCGTTTCTTGAGAAGCCACCCTGCACGTTGCCTCCCCTGTCTGACCTCAGTGAGCTCAGAGGAGCCTTCTGGGCAGTTGCTGTCCCCATTGGGCAGTGTAGGATGCAGGAGTTTGGATGCTTTGGAGTGTTCCTCTGGAAGGATGTCCAGTAGACCCCGAACTTGTCCCAGGCTGCTCTGTGTCAGGTGTCAGTGACAGTGTTTACAAAGCATGATAATGGGGGGACCCAGAGATAGCAGCTTTCATTGTCTGCTGGCCTGGGGGGGCCCTTTGCCTAGGAGAGCTTGTTGGGTCAACAGGCCCAGTGCGGCGGGCATGGGCAATGTAGGCCGGAGCCGGGCGCTTCTGTCTTTCCGGGACTGGCCCTCACCTAGAGCAGCACTTGGCCGGGATGGAAATGGCTTGGAGTGTTCTCTTATGGGATGTGTCCTGCCCGTGAACTTAACCACTTGGATTTTGTACTCATCTCAGTAGTCCCTTCTTAGTACTTGGTCATTTTTAAAATTAGTTGTGAGTGCTTATTGTCAGACATTTTGGATATGTTAAACCAGTGTAAGCCCTTGGAGGAGGGCAGTGCTTGTGTGGGTTCTTAACTCTTTGGCAAGTGCGTTGGCAAAAGGGTGGTTTGTAGTATATTTGGTGGGAGAAAAGGGAACAGCTAGATCTGTCACCCATTGATGGAAATAGTGGTTTGAGATCGAAAATTGGGGGGTAAATTTCATGAATATTCATGACATAAGCTAAGAATGCATTGGGTTGGAGAAATAGTACAGGAGGTAAGGCCCTGCTGGCCTTGCATGTCACCAAGCAGGTTCCGCCCTAGGCATTGCATTGGGTCCACAGAGTGCCACCAGGAGTAACCCCTGAGCTCAGAGCCAGAGTCAGGACCACCACTGAGCCTCTGGATATGCACCTCCCTCCCCCACGGCATAGGCAACTGGCATTGATTTAAAAATGGAATTTAATTGCATTTATCAGGTAATGATCTTATCCTGTCTTAAGTACTTTAGTTCCAACATACTTTTCCTAACATAGCTGTAGTTTCTAACTCGGGGATTTTCTTCCATCTTACGAGTTCGGATTCTGGGGCTGGAGAGAGAGTGTGGAGGGTAAGGCGCTTGCTTTGCATGCGGCTGTCCCGGGCTCCATCCCGGGCATCTCATATAGTCCCCTGAGCACTGCCGGAAGTGACCCCTGAGCAATACCAGGTGTGGCCCAAACTTAAAAAAAAAGTTAGGGTTCTGGTACTGTACCTTGTAGCAGTAAAGGGCTGGGGAAGTTCCCCCCTAGACTGCGCTCTCTAATTCACAGATGATTTTGGTAGACACGGATGGCAGAAGTTATAATATTGTTACAAGGTAAGACAATATGGCTGATTCTGCTCTGTCTTGGCTGGGCTCCTGGCGAGGTTGAGGATTCTAGCTCTGACCCCTTATGTATACCATACAGCCTGCTCATCTAAACCCAACTGGTTGCTCAGGAAAGAAGTAACCAGTTTTTTGAGATGAAGGTACGAGAACTCATACGCTGGAAAGCAAATATTCCTACTAATAACTTCTTTCACATTGCACAGGGAAGGGAAAGGACAGATGAGGGAAGTCATGGTGACTGGGCAGGCTTACTTACTCCAGAGACTCCCACTTCCCCGATTGGGGGGCTGCCTCTGGCAGGCAGAGCGGCAGCCACAGCAGCTTGGCGTTTCGGCCTCCGTGGCCTCTTTCTGCTGCCCTGTGTGCACGGGAGAGACATTGGGTCGGCTCTCAACTAGGCAGAGCACAGCTCGAGGTTGGGGGTCGGGGGTGGGTGTCACTTTCCCTAGCGTCCAAGGCAGAGAAGCCGTGTTTGATATGCCGGCATGTGGCAGGGGGCGTGAGAGACAGCCGGTGCTGGTGCCCGCCTCCTCCCCAACGTTTGGGAGTGTTGCTGTGCTTGTCTCAGCTGCCCTGCAGGCGTGGTCAGAAGCCCGCCACAGGCAGGCAGCCTCTGATGGTCGCAGAACTGTGGGAGGCCAGCGCTGCTCATCTGGGTTGCCACCTTGACTGAAGAGCTTCTCCTGTGGTCCCGGGCCATGGAGGCCGAGGCCCCTGCCGCCTTTGCTCCACGTGCTGGGTCTCAGTGAGCGCTAGGACTCTTTCCCCCATTCTCCTGCAGCCGCGTCCACCAGTGGGAGGGAGGGTGGCATCGCAAAGTGACCCACCTCGGGAGCAGCTCGAGCAGGGCCAGACTGTCAGATTTTGAACCCAGGGCCTCACACAGATAAGTCACGCTCTCTATGACTGAGCCCCTTCCTTGGCCCAGCGGTACCATTTCTAGACTTGACTGTTTACAGATGTTGTCTGTGATGGGCTGTGGACTTAAGGGGCATCAGCCATATGCCATGCACTCTGCTGGGAGCTTTGGTCTCTTGAATGCTCCAGACAGCCTCTCCAGGGAGCTCAGCTTTAGGTGGGAGACAGGCCACACTGCCCAAGAAGTTAGGCCTTCAGAACCTTGCTGCCTTGGGGGTAATAACAGTACTTCCTCCTAAGGCCATTGTGAGGATTAGGGGAGGTAATACATGTCAAGTGGTTTGAATAGCACTTGGCACATAATTCTGTCAATACCACAGTTATTACTATTATCACTGGGGTATGTGCTTAGTTCCACTGTAACTAAGTGGAGGAACTGGGTTTCCTGACTCCAAAGCTAAACCTCTTTGCTCTTAGTGTCTGCTGCAGGGTTATTTGCAGTTTCCTTGACTTTGGCCAATACCTTGAATGAAGAATGTCCCTAATAGAGCCTCCAGTTCTGTTTACCCACAAAAAGACAAGCTTCTCTGTGTGCGGGGCTCCACACATTGCCCAGACCAAATGCCATATCTCATGCTTGGTCTGTGCCTGGCAGAGTCTCATGAACTGAGAGTACTTAAGCTCTTCTAGGTTTGGGAGAGGGACAGGACTAGGGATGGGGCAGTGAGCCCTGTCACCTTGCCACTGCCCCACGCCCTCATGCCTGCTTTTAGAGGTGCTTCTGGAGCGTGGGGGCAATGATTGGTGAGAGCCCAGAGAGGTCTCTGATTGGTTTGAGAGGTAGGTAGAGGTGGGACAAGTTGGCACTGTGGTGGTGGTATATTAGGAAGAGCCGTCTGGCTGCTCAGATTATGGACCTGGGTTGGAGTCCATCCGTCCTTAAGCTTGGATCCTGTGCTCCCTGGGCCTCATTTCATTATGTGGTGGGGTGATGGGAGAGAAGGTATAAAGGAATTTGAGACATAGTTAGTGCTTGACACACAAGTGATAGTCATGATTATGATTTATCTTCATTCTTAATGCTACAAACTAAGCAGTGCTTCTCATCTTTTTTTCTGACCGTGACTCTTTCTAACCTTATTTCCTTTTGTGTCCTCACCCCCACCCCCCATTTTTGTGATTTTTACTGGTGGGCCCCCCGTGGAACAACCTTGGAGCCCACAGGGTCCACGTAGCCCCTGATTAAGAGATGACTAAGGGTCACAGAAGTTATAATCTCTATCCTCTCTCTGGGGAAGGGAGACCAGTGGAGACACAAAGTTCCAGTGTAATAGGAAGGAAGTAAAGTAAGTAAAGTAAAGGGCCTCCCGTTCATCGATTTGCTCGAGCGGGCCCAGTAATGTCTCCATCGTGAGACTCATTGTACTGTGTTTGGCATGTCGAATACGTCACGGGGAGCTTGCCAGGCTCTGCCATGCGGGCGAGATCATCTCGGTAGCTTGCCGGGCTCTCCGAGAGGGGCGGAGGAATCGAACTCGGGTCGGCCATGTTGGCTGCGTGCAAGGCAAACGCCCTACCGCTGTGCTATCGCTCCAGTCGTCAGAAAAGACTGAACAAGGGCCACACGTGTGTGTGGTTGCCCAGGGAAAGGGATGGATGGGGTGTGGCATCGGTCTTGGGAGCTAGGGACCAGTCGTGGAACGGAGGTGGTGGGGTGCCTTTTCTTGGGAGTGAGGCCCTGTGCACCAACACGTGCCCAAATCGCTTAGTGACGTTGGAGCTGGAACTTGCTCTGTGCACTGTGGAGCCAGTCAGGTCTGAGAGGGTAGGTGGAGATTGGACGAGCTGGCACCACGGTGGTATTTTAGGAAGAGTCATCTGGCCGAGGTGTGCAGGAAGGACCCAGGAGGTGACAGAGGTGGGCGTGGAGCCTTCCCAGGCATCAGCTGCGAGGTCAGTCTGCCCTACTACTGCCCTTGGTGTGGAAAGGGAGGCTGGTAA